ACAACAGTATGTCCCACCATGTTCCCTGAGGTCAGCGGACCAGTTGCTCCTCACAGTTCCAGGAACTCGTCTTAAGCGCAGAGGTGACAGGGCCTTCTCTGTAGCAGGACCAAGACTTTGGAACGAGTTACCTCTGCTTGTCAGACAGGCCCCCTCCCTCTCGGTCTTCAAGTCCCGTTTAAAAACCCACTACTATTCGGTAGCTTTCGACACCAGATGATCTGTGTTTTGAACCTGTATGCTCCACACTGGTTTGTCGTCATTATCTGCATCGTTTTTAGGTCTATATTTCTGATTTACTTCATCTTGTATTTTGCTTTGTGTGTTACCTGTTGTTCTGTCTGTACAGCACTTTGGTTGGCCTTGTCGCTGTTTTAAGTGCTCTATAAATAAAATGGTATGGTATGTTCTGTGTTCATGCGTACTCATCTGCTCACAGACTCATGTTTGTGCTGCTGTTCGACGTAATGTTTTTATGCAATTAGTGCTCAGTTATTTAGCTGATGTTTTTCTTAGTTCATATCTTAGATCTTATTACTGTTTTTCTTTCACATTTTATTGTTGGATGTAACTGGGACCCTGTGTACATAATCTCATGCCACCACATGTACCACATGAGATGTGAATGACAAATAAATGTCTCTGAATCTCTGAATTAATACCTTTTGAGCTTTCATGGCTTAAATGTTCTGGTTAATGGGAAGAAAAAGCCCAACAAAGTTGAGGCAGGTCCTCTGGACGGTTTCTTTTTGTTGAAACGTTTTGCCTTTTAGCCACAAGACTTCATCAGTCCGAGGAGCCACAACTCAATTTTGAATGAAAGACGAAACGTTTCAACAAAAAGTAACCGTCCAGAGGACCTGTTTTAACGTTATTGGATTTTTTACCTTGGTTACTGAACATGAACTTGGATGTTTTGAACCACTTTGGCTATGGCTGCCTCAGACGAGTTGGTGGGGGAGAGGGCGGACTCCAGAAACCATCTTAGCATCATCAAACTGATTGACGCATTATGTGAAAGTGCTTTTAAGACTGAGTTTGTTGTGGCTCCTTGGATTGATGAGGTCTTTTGGATGAAAGACAAAGTGTTTCAACGAAAAGAATCTGTCCAGATGACCTGACTTAACTTTGTTGGATTTTTTTACCTGGATTATTGAGCATGAACTTTGATCGCAAGAGAAAGTCTTAAACAAAATGATACAAAATGTGATCATCTTCTACAAACATGAACTTGCAAGGCCTGTTAGTAATCTATTAATATATTTTAGTCGGTTTTCATTTTTCCCAAAGTTATAACCATGTATGGATGAGCATTTATGGTTAAAAACCTTTTTATCCACGTTGTGTTGCATCCCCCTTCCCCCCTCCCTTTGGCAGCTGCATTTACCCTCTGACTTTTGGAGGCACAATCCTCTGCATGACCGGATCACACTACCTTCCTTCCCTCCAGTAGCAAACATGAAGCTATGTGATGGAATCACGCGGGAGTCAGAAAATCCTGGTAGTCATGCGCTAATCCGGTATTTAAGGTCAGAGCTCCAGTGCTTTGGGGGCAAAGAAAAGAAGGGGACTGTGTGGGCGTTAGGAAACAGGAGAGTTTTACATCAAGCTGGTGTGCTGAAGTGATGCAAGTTGATTTTTGGTGAAAAACTTAAAGAAAGTCTGTGCTCACAGGTGATTTCCAGCTGTGTGGTGAAAATATCCGACATCATATTGGGATCATGTGGCAGTTTTTGGTACTGGTGGGCGCAGCGGTCGTGAGCGCACAGTTCCCCAGAGAATGTGTGACACCAGAGGGACTCAGGAGTGGACAGTGCTGTCCGTCCCCCCAAGGATTTCCTAATGACCCCTGTGGCTCCGGCGCGGGGCGAGGACAATGTGTGTCTATTGCGGTGGACGCTCGTCCACACGGGCCCCAGTACCCGCACGATGGACGGGACGACAGGGAGCGATGGCCTATTCGTTTTTTCAACCGCACCTGTCAATGCAATGGGAACTTCAGTGGTTTTAACTGTGGACGATGCAAACATGGGTGGACAGGGGTCAACTGTGATCAGAGGGTCTCTGTGGGTAAGTGTTAAATGATTTAAAGTATTTGTTTAGAATTGACAAAATGCACTTTAAACACAAAGTACAAATCCTAACCCTAAGCCTGGTTGAGTAAGTCTTCTGCAGAGCTCTGTGCCAAACCTTGAGCAGCTATTGAGCATAAAGGAGAGATCACCAGGAAAATCTTAACAAAACCTAACCTCATTTTTGTTCATTTACCCTTTATTTATACAGGTAGTCTCATTGAGCCACGAGAACTCATTTTCAAGAGAGACCTGTTTAGGGAGCAGATGGTGGGGCTCAGGGGCCCAGGGTGGGGCGAATGAGGGTGGAGGCAAGTGTGGGTGTTTCATCTTTTCCACCCACATTTTGATGTTGATGGTACCGGGAGGTGAACCTGCAACTTTCCGATCACAAGCCCATCTTCTAACCTCTGCACCACCACTCCCCCCAAACCTCAAAGACAGACTTCAATCCTTCAGCCCAACTTAACCTTTTATTTATGTGCTTTCACAACGATCTCAACCTTAAAATTTACCCTTGACCTTCCCATTGAGCCCAACTATAAGCCTCATTTTAAATATATTTCTCGATAAACCAAGCCCTAAACTGACCTTATTTTGTATTCAATACTACAGTATTTTGTATACTTTATACTAGTCAAGTAATCACAGCCTAAACTATACCTTTTTTATCCACTTTCCTAGTCATCCCACCCCTAATAGTTAATTTATGTCTAGCACTAAACCTACTTCCCGCTCATCTCTCTTTTCTATACATATTATTTTCTCACTATCTATCCTTTTCATCTTTTTTGTCATTACCAATCATACAACACAACAACCATAAATGCAATACAAACAGACCTAGTTGTTGTATAACCATCACCAGACACAGTACATCTCAAATTACCTATGCAATCTGAGGGTTAGATCTATGCAACGTACACAACAAAGTAAAAACCAGCCCAAGTCTCAACCTGATCTTCAGCTGAGCTTCTGTTGATCTCTATTCCAAATTTTGAGCTGGTATCGAGACTCGAGGGAAGATCACTAAGAAGAAAATCTCACTAAAAACAAACCGTAAAGACAGATTAACTCAGTCCTGTTGTCTTTAATCTCGCAGTGAGGAAGAATGTGATGCAGCTCAGCAATGACGAGAAGCGCGCGTTCGTGAACGCCCTGGACCAAGCCAAGCGCACGGTGCACCCCGACCTGGTGATTGCCGTGCGGCACTACTCGAACATCTTCGGCCCCGACGGGAACACCACTCAGTTCGAGAACTGCACCATCTACAACTACTTTGTGTGGTCCCACTATTACTCGGTCAGCAAGACATTCCTGGGCGCAGGCCAGGCCAGTTTCGGAGGGGTGGACTTCTCCCATGAGGGCCCTGGTTTTGTCACCTGGCATCGGTTTCACCTGCTGCAACTAGAGCGGGATATACAGGTGAGAAAGTTTCCGCAAATGCAAACCTATTTTTCATATTTAACATTTGATTAACTGCACTGCTCTTTTCACTGACTTGCTCTATTCCTCTGTTTATTTTGCAAAACGCATTCCCCCACAACTGAATTGGCGAGGAAATTATAATTGACTTAGTAATGTCACGCCTTAATGAGCCAGACTTGAGGTTGATCTGCTTCCATTTGGACAACAGTTCTCTCGTGAATGAGAGGAATTATAAGATGGTACAGTGGGCAGTCTTAATAATCCCTTTCAGTGTGACTAGTATATCCATCTAGTGGCTTACAATTATGAGCAGAAAATGAAGCTGTGATGTGAATTTGTCTGGCAGGGTGTCACACTTCCACAGAGAAACTCCATCCTTATCCTGCGCAGGACGCAGGTTTGTGCTGGAGCTCCCTAATTAGGTGCCTTTTGTTCAAACCTGGCAGAGTTTGAAGGAGAGCTCGTTTTTTTGATCCTGAATCGTGATATATTACATCCTCTCTATGGAAAAAAAAATGTATGAGCCTCTGAACTGTGAGGCTGACTATTTTCATCTAAAAAAGTACCTGTCTTAAACTCACATTTCTTGTCGTTTCTTTGTAATAATGTGAGCTTCAAGATAAGATTTGATGATGCTCAATATAATGACTTTTACAAAAATCCTTAAAACTGTTTAAAAACGGGATCATTTCTAAGTTCATAATGGCCACAGAAATCAGTCATCTACCTAATAAAATAAAACCCTGTGCAACTTTTGATTCAGTGCTTCTGTTTATACCGTACAACCAGGACATGTTGCAAGATCCGTCTTTTGCCCTACCCTACTGGAATTTTGCCATCGGTGGAAACACATGTGACATCTGTACAGATGACCTGATGGGAGCCCGAAGCAGTTTTGACATGAATTCTCTGAGCTCCAATTCCATCTTCTCTCAGTGGAGGGTCGTGTGTGAGAGCGTAGAGGACTATGACACACTGGGAACCATCTGCAATAGTAAGACACAGCGGCTCTCTCAGGATGTTGTTGGTCTTTATTCTCCAAAATGATTTTTTTTAAAGTACATTAAGTGACGTTTTTGCTTTGTTTACTTGTTCTTTTCAGACACAGAGACAACTCCCATCAGAAGAAATCCAGCCGGAAATGTGAACAGGCCCATGGTCCAGCGTCTCCCAGAACCCCAGGATGTTGCTGATTGTCTGCAAGTGAACACTTTTGACACGCCACCCTACTACTCTACCTCCTCTGAGAGCTTTAGGAACACAATCGAAGGCAAGTTTTTATTTTTATTTTATTTTATTCTTCTCACGTTCTTGACAGCATTCATTCATACTATCTATGTTGCTTTGGTAGGTTACAGCGCCCCCAAGGGGAACTATGACCCCATAGTGAGGAGCCTCCACAACTTGGCTCATTTGTTTCTGAATGGAACTGGAGGGCAGACTCACTTGTCCCCCAACGACCCCATCTTTGTCCTGCTCCACACCTATACTGATGCCATATTTGACGAATGGTTGCGGAGACACGGTCCAGGTGGAGTTAGGACTTAAACCCATCTTGAGCATGTATTTGAAAATGGAAATAATGAGCTTTTAAGCTAATTGAAGCATTTTTTTTTAACAGATTCATCCGTGTATCCTGATGAAAATGCCCCAATTGGTCATAACAGAGCCTACAACATGGTGCCATTTTGGCCTCCGGTGACTAACTCCGAGATGTTCGTGACTGCCCCTGAAAATCTCGGCTATTCTTACGAAGCTGAATGGCCAGGTTTGAGTTTTTAATTTCCTTTAAGACATGAATCCTTTGAGCAGCATGGTGGCTCAATTGGTAGAGCTCTCAGTGAGAAGGTCGCCGGATCTTTCTGGGTGGAGTTTTTCATGTTCTCTCTGTGCATGCGTGGGTTTTTTCCAGGCACTCCGATTTCCTTCCACAAAACAAAAACATGTATGTTAGGCTAATTGATAACTCTAAATTGTCCCTAGGTGTGAGTGAGTGAATGGTTGTTTGTCTCATTTGTATCTCTGTGTCCCTGTGATGGACTGGAGGCCTGTCCAGGGTGTCCCCCGCCTTTCACAGAGTCACAACTAGATATGAGCACCAATGACCCTCACAACCCGAAAAGGAAAAAGTGGGTAAAGATCATGGATGAATGGATGGATGGACATGCATTGAGAAGATGGAGCTAGAAAGTAACTTGTTATTTACCTCTACTTTTTTAGGTCAGCCTTTCTCTCTGACTGAAATCATAACCATGTCGATAGTTGCCGCCCTTGTGGTCGTCGCAATCATTTTTGCCGCCACCACGTGCGCCGTGCGAGCCAGGTCCAAGATGGAGGGCCACCAGCCTCTGCTCGGGGACCAGTACCAGCGGTACGACGATGAGAAAAGCCAATCAGTGGTCTAAGACGGCTGCTTGAGAACAACTTACGTGCCTCTTCTTTTTTCGTTTTTTCCAGTAAGAACTACGTAGTTTGTTCATCTGAATCTGTTCTCAATAAAAATAAAGTATGTTTTGCAAAAACTGCTATAGTTTACATACATACTTTGCAGTCAGAGTAAGTCTCCCGCTCATAGGAATGTTTCCAGAGTTAGACATAACCAGATGAATTTTAAAGGTGATCCTGAGTGTTTTGCAATTTCTCTTTAAAGTTATAGAAAGTGTGATATCACCCATGCAATAAAAATGTAATATAAACTCCAAAATATATATAACCATTGTGTCTCAGTTACCTCTTAAACCAGTTTTATGTGCCATAATGTCCATCAGGAGGTGCTGTAGTTCAAGCTCTGAATCTTTACTTGAACAAAGTTTTGCTTTGTTTTTATGACTTGTGTAGATAAAAGTGAATATACCTAAAATGGTCTTTAAAAAAAAACAATATATAAACCAAGGTGGTAATTCAGAACCTGTAGCTGGTGTATACATATTTCACTTTGTTTGAGTTTTTACTACCAAATATTAAAAAGTTCCTGTACTAATGTTACTGTGTGTAAATGTTTGTGATTCTGGGCGCACATTAAAAACTAATTAAATGTTTTTTAAATTATTATTATTTTGCCCATCAGAAAAAAAAGAGAAGTGTGTGGGGGGATACAAGCTCACGTGGCAGCTAAATGTTAGCTTAATTTTCGGACTTCCGGTGTTTCTAATTTAAAATGAGCAACAATTTGCTCCTAATGAGGGTTTAGCTTCACCATTTACCTGCCGTGGTGTCTGGTTTCAGAGGAGGTTCCACTCGTGGGAGGGTCCACGGTGAGTTTAAAGCGTCCTGCTGCCGGTTCAGCAGGAGGTCTGACAAAGAGGCGCGAGCTGCTTTGACGAGCGCGTGCTCTCTCTCTCTCTCTCTCGTGGATATTCCTCGCGCGCCTGCTGCTCCGCCATGGACGAGAGCAGCGGCAACTTCTCGCCCGAGCTCAAGGACTTGGAGACGAAGCTGGGTCGGAAAGTTCCGGACGGTCTCGTGCGGTCTCTTCTTGCGGGGGGGAAACGCAACGAGAAGTCGCCTCATTTGTCGAGCTGCAAGTTCTGCGCGGATTCTGCGGATTTGGAGAGACTGCAGAGTAAAATGTTGGTGCTCAGACAGGAAATGGTGAGTTTTAGTCAGGTTTGCGGTTCCGTGTCTGTTAGCAAAATATCTCCTGAACCGCAGGATGAATTTACCTGAAACTTCCAGGAAATAATCATTCGGTGTATGTTTGCAAGGCTTTAACTTTTGGTGTCAAGCCCGTTCAAGTCATTTTTATTGATACTGGCCTATAATTTAACGTGGTAGTAGCTGAGACTGATCTCAAACACATACACTCGTCAGAAAACAAATTGTGCAACATCTTTGATTAATTTTTTTTTTGTTGCCAGCAACTATTTGTAGTCTGTGTCTGTTAGCAAAATAGCTCAAAAACTACTTGACGGATTTTATTGAAATTTTACGGGAATGTTTTTTGGATGTTCATCAACGACTGTTTAACTTTTGGGGGACAGTGGTCGTCCCTAAAATAAAGTGATGCCCCCTAACTGGCTACTCTTGCCCAAACTTTATTTTATCCTCAGGAGTTCCAAGCTATTGCATGTGCATTTTTAATTTCACTAGTTTAAGATTAGTAGAACCTTTAAACATATAGAATTGTGTGTGTATATATACATATTTAATTTTTTTAATATAGTCCCACTAAGGAGGACCTGTCTAAAACCATGTCCTCAGCATGCATATATACACTGGGTCTCAGGAGGAAATGCTGTACATGCAATATATTTATATAAATTTAGGAGAGGACAAGATTCAATAAGCTGAGTGATGACTAATAATATCTCCCAACTCCTAAATTTGACATAAGAAACTATATGACGGCACCATGACAAATCTGAAATTCTGTACTGGCTTTTGTTTTCAGTGACCACACACACAGACATGTGCGTGCACGTTTGTCTTTCTGTCTTTACGGGAACTTTGCATGGACTTCCATCATTTTTCATTCATTTCTATAACCTGACCATTAGTTGGTACCATGGTACTGTAAGCGGTGTAGTTCAGTCAGCGGCATGGTCTTGTTAGCAGGTCCCTTCAGCAGCATGATGATGATGATGATGATGAGGATTGCAGCAGCTGCTTCCCAGACTGCCCTCCATAACCGGATCCAGCAGACAGAGAACATCCACGGTTCCCCCACAGAGTTCTGTACTAGTACTAGTACAAACCTGACTCATCCTCGATTCATACCTTAGTCCTAAACCTAATCCCGAACCCACCAACGACACTTGAACCTTTATGGGGATCATGCATTGGTCCCCACAAAGAGCAGTTGGTCCTCACAATGTAGTATGTGTTCAAAAATGGGCCTCACAAAGTAGCATAAACAAGCATGTGTATATACACACACACACACACACACACACATGGGTATCCCATTAAAGAAAATGAAGCCGTCACTCTATTTTCAAACCAAATATAAAGTAGGTAGTGATGGTTTAAAACTTAAGCACAGTAGTAGATGTCCACCTCAGGTAATCGACCTTGTCAAGCCTATAAATGGTCATAACTAAGTCCGTTTTTTCAAATATTGAGCTGAAATTTGATTTGTTTGAAGCTGAGCATCCATCCCAGTAAATACTGACGGCGTCTTATTTTCAAAGGCTTTGACTAAAACAGTTGTTTCCGTTTCCCAATGTAAGAGGATCTTCGATTAAAGCTGGCGTGAAAACGGGTGGAAGATATGCATTCCTTCAAGGAATGCTAGGTCTTTCTTTCTGTTGAGTCTCTTGCATGTCACATTAGACGTCCTGACCCTTGCTTCACATCTGTTTTATGACCAACCCAGTCACTCTGCTCTGTTTGCTGGGGTGCACATCTGGAAAACACATTACCGGTAATTTCTTGCAGGAACAGCCCGTCATTCAGCATTTTTGCATTATATTGGAGCTTAAAGCAGCCCTGATGAACAGTTTGTAACAAAAATATTAGATTAGCTTGTTTTATTTTGATGCCACAAGTCAAGCATTGCGTTTTTTGCTAAACTATCTTGACTTGCTTTTTAAAAGCGGCTATTTTACAACTCCAGAGAACGCCATCGTGTCTAACCAGCTGCCTCAACGCGTCACAACCGTGACATGATGTTACAGCTGCCCATTTGCCGTTTTTTGTTTTGTTTTTTCTGAGGGAGAATCTCTCTAAAAGATACCCACAAAGTCCCGTCCACTTCCACCCCGACAGAACAGCGTGGTTTGTTGAGGCGAGAGTGTTTAATCAATGGCCACACTGTAAAAACAGCCATATCTTTCTTTATCATGGACAGAAAACGCTGTCTCCAGGCTGTGTAGCCGCCAGTTAATGTGACCAAACAAAGACCGATAGTCCAAATAACAAAGGGACTGAGTGTTCTGGCCATGAGACAACTTAAAAATGCTAACAGTTCTTTAAAAAAAAAAAAGAAATAATTCAGCTTGCATCTTAACGGCTCCTTCTAAGGCAGTGGTTCCCAACCCTGGTCCTTGAGGAACGCCATCCTGCATGTTTTAGTTGTTTCCCTGCTCCAACACATCTGATTCGGTGATTTCATTACTTCAAGTTCTGCAGACGCCTGCAAATCACTCATTTATTCATATCGGGTGTGTCAAAGCAGGGACACAACTTAAACATGCAAGATGGTGTTCCTCAAGGACCAGAGTTGGGAACCATGAAGTTCATGAAGTTGATGACATAATTAACTCTGAGTAATAAAGGTGCTGCTTGAGGCTTGGTTTGAGCTATTATTGTGGCTGAAAACCAAGATTTGCACTTCTCACTGTTTATAAAGAATATAACGTGCAATGTAATAATGCTAATTTATTTATGCCCCGTCCACACCACTCTAACATTTTAGGTAAATTCAATTGTTCTCCAATTTTCTGGCCTCTGATCCACAAAACGACAGTGGCAGAGTCTAATGACCCAAACCGTTGTTTCCTGAAGTATAAAAATGTTGCAAATAAGCCACGTCAAATGTTGGTGGCTAAACAATAATAGCCAACAGCTAATCCTGAAGCTAGCATTTTAGCATTTAGTTTAGCATTCCAAACAAAACAGCCCCAACAACCAGTATTGCGTCATTATGTCTCAACAGTTCAGGAGGGTCATTTCTATAGTTTATGTAAAGATCCAACCCACAGCAAGAAACTAACCTTAACCTTTGAAGGTTGTAATTAAAAACATTTCATTATTGAGTTATTATTTTGACATTCTCTTATCTCAAAAGCTTCAAAATGATATATATCTTGTTGAAATTTGACCGTTTATCACCTGGAGTAGCAACAACTAAGTTTTATTCAATGTTTGTTTAATAAAAACACTTCTTTTTTTTAGTTGACATATGGGTGATGCAGTAATGATTAGATGCCTATACCTGTCAGTTTTACAGATATTGAGCTACAGCTAGGTGTGGTAGTAGCCGAGTCATCCACAATGCGTACTCTGAATGCTAACAAGATCTCCCTTGAGATCCCACACAACTATTTTTGAAATTTGACCTAAAGCAGCCATACGTGTAGCATTTCAACACAAGATTTTAGTTTGAAACTCTGGTTTGGAATGTTAAGCTAAATGCTAAAACGCTAGCTTTAGGATTAGCCGTTAGCTATTATTGTTTAGCCACCAACCATTTAGCACTCTAATGCCAAAATCATGTTTTTGGTCTTCTGGTCATAGGTGTAGGTAAAAATAAATGTATAATTTTTTTTACAAGTAAAAATGATCTCCACCATCATGTCTTATCAGTTCATGCTAACGTGGTAGTCACTGGACAGGTATGTGGGTGGTATTTGTCTTGTCTGTGCTAATCTGTTTATCTCCTCAACGCAGGCAAGCCTGCGAGCCATCGACGTGAAGCTCATGCAGCAGCTCATGACGATTAACGAGGGCATCGAGTCCATCCGCTGGATGATAGAGGACAAAGGAGACGTTGCCAGCCATGATGGCAGCCTGACGGGCAGCTTGTACAGCCTGTCGGACAGCCAGGACGGCTCCTCGCTGCGAGGCAGCTTCAACAGCCTGAACGACGGTAACGATGACGGACTGGACGGTCTGTCTGTGGGCAGTTACTTGGACACTCTGGCAGAAGACCTCCCGGATGGCCCCTCACCCACAAACCTTGACTGCATTATGGATAAAAGTGTGATCGATGGAGACGCCTTCACTAAATCGCCTCTGAAACTCCGGGTGGAATCGGAGGAATACTACTGCTTCAGATAATGACGATAAGCTCAACACGGACTACTGAGGGAGGCGCGCTGTGAGCGAAATAGACTTTGGAAATACTTTTAACTCAGCTTTCAGTTGATTTTTCTGTCCCACAGGTTTAAATGTGCTCGATTTTAGCAGCCAAAGTGTTTTTTTTTTTTTTTCTTAAAGCTATTACATCTCTGTAACAATAGCGTTCGACTAAAATTAAAGCGATTTAGTTCAGGCCTGTTGAAGTGGAGTTGTGTATAAACAATATCTTACTTGGTTTTAGAAAGTTCTTTGTACTACCTCAGTTTGGAGAAATACGGTTTAATTCTGACCTGATTGACCAGTTAATCCAAGGACCAAAGTGACTTGCTGTTCTAAAGTAACCATAATCTACAAACAAATACTATTCTTATTAATGCAAACTCAGTTTTATACTTTTTAAATGCTGTCAGATTTGCATTACATGCTTATTATCAAAGACTATTACATTATTTTTGTAAGAAGTGCTCTATGCTGTACCGCAAGTGCTACAGCTGGCTGCAGCTAATGCCATTTGTGTTTTGCAAATAACTTTTTTTTTTTTTTTTAAGTGTGGGAATGGGAATTTAAGCTCGATTTCTTCAAAAATCTCACTCTGGCAGTAAGCCTTAGCTAACCCGAGACCATAGTTTCTGCTTTGGAATGCTTTCAAATTAAACCATCATGGCAGAAACAAACTACAAGTTGTTTTTCTTTAGTAAAGAGGTTGGGATACGTGTCGAAAAACTCAGTAAGGAAACAAATTTGCACATCACTACCAGGTGCATATCTAAAACAATATGATTTATTATTTTAAATTGTGTCCCTTTTTTACCCATAATTAATTTATGGGAAAAATCACGGCTAGTCCCTCGTAGCGTGAAACTGATGGCAATGTAAACGTTAATGATTTTCTCATACATCGCTACAAAACATTTTTGAGATTGGAATTGTGTTAATTTTGATAGCAATGCAGCTCAGTCTGGTCAAAATCTAAACCATTCCTCCAAATTGAGGTCATATAAAGAGGTTTCTACAACAGGTAAGATATTAATTGCTCGTGATCTTTCCTCTGAACTTCACTAAGGTTGAACAGTCACTTTAATACAATAATAAAGTGTTTCTTTATGACCTAACCTACAGTATATATGATCCAACCCATCAGTAGTTTTTATCTTTCACACGTTTTTAGTTTTAAAAATTGTCAGGAAAATTTGCATTTTTAGAAAAAAACGGCAAATATCTCTTTAAAATCCTCAGTCCTTTGACTTGTTCTGACTCGACCACAATCAGATAATGCATAGTTAGCATTTATTAGCAGTCATTTGGGAAATTGGATTTTTCCTGCTGAGCGACTCAAGTGGTTTAACTGTTTCGAGCGGTGAAGAGATTAGTTTAAGTGCCGTTTGCGTGCATGCCAAATCCTGAGCACCACCCACTGTACATGTCAAACCGTCCATTCATTACCTTTACCCTCTTCTTCCTTATGTCAAACCTTTTTAATTATTTTTTTACTTATGCAGGTTGATGAGCTGAGCTTCGTTGGGGGCATCAATAACGTTTACAGCATAAAGTCGTGCACACGAGATTAGCTGAGCACAGATCCTTGACTGAAACCAAAGATATTTGATTCTCTTAGAGATAATTTATGCCGAAGGCTTAACTGTCTTAACACCAGATGGAAGATTTGTTAATGGCAGCCATATGTGGGACACGTGCCTGCTGTGAGGGCATTTTAATTCTCTGCTGGTTTTTATCGTTTGTTTAAAAGAAAAAAAAACGGAGCTATTACTGTATAGAAATGTGTTTTTAGCTTTAAATTTTTAATGTTGAATTGTTTGAATATTTTATGATGCCTGTTTTGTTTTTTTGGAGAAAAAAAAAGTTTTTTAATTGCTGTTAATCATAACGTGGAAATTAAATAATATATTTTTTCTTTTTGCCCACATCGTTGTATGTTTTATTGCAAATATTTCCTAAAACATTGTCAGAACCTTCGAGCATTGATGTTTTTCTTTAAATGATGCTCTTAAGTTGTAAATTGATGAAAAACGTAACTCTCCGATGCGCTAACAGAGCTAGCCGATAGCTGCTGTCTTAAAACAACCCCAGTTTTGAAAAATGACCAACAGCTCTTAAAAATACATTAAATAATTTTATAAAACTTTAAAATACTACCCCATCATATAGTCGTTAATTTGGCAGAAATTTTATTCCTGTCCGTAGTGTTCCAGGCTGAACTAGGAAGGTTGCTAGCATTTGCTGGCGCTATTAGCGGGACAGAATCATCAAATTTTGTGTCAGTAATTGTGTAAATTAAAAATTGTGGCAATATAATTTAAAACAAAACAATATTTACATGAATCTTTGTGACTTTTTAAATCATGTTTTAAAAGCATCGAGCCACTTTGTTCTTGGCTTGGGTAGAATTAGCCATTAGCTTGTCAGTATAGGTAGAAACAAACCTTGTTTCTCTAAATTGAAGCAGTTCAAACAGTTATCTAGAGAGAAAATAAAGTTCTAAGCCTTTCCACAGAACCGTACTTCAAAATATCTTAACTATTCACCAACCACCATCTTAACCATTGCCTCAATGCCATTTATTTAAATTTGATAAAGGGCTGCTCATCTGATTTATCCTCTCTAGAACCTCTCAGTGGTGGACACAGTTCTGCTAATCCACTAATAGCAGAACAATCTTAATTTCAGGGAATGTCATTTTCGCCAACTTTGGAAACCGTTAGAAGAATTATTGGCTAAATTCACAAGCTTGTTCCTGTCTGTTGTGGGCGTGTCTCAAAGAGTCCGTTAGGCACGCTATTGGCTGACTACGTGCACACGTGAAGATGTGATTGGTCGACGCAGCTTCAATAGGAAGGAGACAAAGATGTGATGCAGACCTGAGAGGTTAGCGGTTTACTGTTAACAAAGTTTGTTTTTTTTAAGTTATCAGAATATGGGTTAGCAAAGCTAACACTGTGTTAGCTGTGCCCACCACTGGAACCTCTAAACTAGCTTTAAAACAGCACTATTTGAGATGATATACAGAAATCATATCTATTACTGTCTGCGATGATAATGCGTGTTAGCTTGGGCTCATTAATTTTCATCTAAGAAGTACTGATGAACTCTACCATTAATTAAAAGAAAAATGGCTATAAGCTCAATCATCCAGGTAGATAACAACAAAATAGTTTAAATTGTGTAATCTGGACCAGTTTCTTTGAGAAACGTTTCATCCCCCATCCAGAGGACTTCTTCAGGCTACGGCCTGCCAACCAGATTTGTCTGGACTGAAGAAGTCCTCTGGATGGGGGATGAAACGTTTCTCACTTAAAGAAACTGGTCCAGATGACACAATTTAACCTTTTTTGTACTGCCATTAATATTTACCCATCTCAAACAAGCAAACAAAAAAAGACAGAACTGTTGTTGGCATACCAATCATGCAGTCTTTTACACATTTTATGGTATTCTTATTTGTAATTCATGTCATTTGCTTCTTAGCTGTCATGTGATAATTTAAGTTCCAGACAGAGAACGCTGGGAAAGTCATTATTTGGAAAGATGAGAACCGCAGTCTTCGTGGCTTGAAAATGAATTAGAGACCATTGGTACCACAACAGTCCCTAGGCTGTGATCTGACGTCCGGAAAGACTCGGTTTGGGAAACACTGCTATTTTAGGTTACTCTTCAGTAATATACGTACATATTACTTTTTCCACAGAGCGGCCTTACGTCAGCTCTTCTAAATTGGAACATAGCAATCATGAAGTTATGGATGATGGATTTCATTATAGTGAAATGTTTAGAAAAACCAAATTACACGTAAACAGTTTAAATGTTGCGTTTGCTCCAGACAGATGATATCACTGCATCCAGACACGTTAAGCATGCTTGTATTTGTGTTTCACTCCATGAGCAAAGCAGCTTTATTGGGTTTTATGCCTCTTTTTTCTTATCTCCACCTCCCAGAAGCTTTGGCGTGCTTAAGCTTTTCGTCAAGCTGCACTGGACCACTAAACCAGAAGGCTTGGTGAATGGCAGCGTGACATCCTTAACACTTCATTTAAAAAACACACACTAACAAAAAAAAAAAAAAAATCAAAATTGCCTAAATGTCTTGTCCAAACATATATAAACTATGTAATGACTGAGGAGGAGACTGGAGCTAGTGGCCTTGAAATAAGTGGACCTACAGAACCGGTTCCGTGGGTTAATGTTAAAAGAGTTCTGCTTGTAAATTCCTGAGTGCTGCATGGTACACTACACATGAACAGAAGCTGCTATTTGTGTCTTTCTTTGGTCTCCTGAGTGCAACATTTGCAACATGAAAGAGAATAAGAAACATTTATTGAAGTTTTTTCTGTAAAATGCTGGAGTTTTAAGGTACGCCACTGCGCAAAAGCCTTGAGCCAATCCTATTTGCTTTCTAGGAACCAGACTTCTAATAATCTGGACAATGATTATTTATTGTGCTTTAATCCGGCCCTTGGACTTGACCATTGTCAAGCACTTAACTCTGAGCTGTGACTCATTCAAGCGTGAAAAATACACATACTCATGAGTTAAACCAGTGTTGTCTTCACCTATAAGACAACTTTCCAACAAACCAGTTTGTGACTGTAACTTTATCACATTTGTTACAGTTTGTCAGATAGACACCAAAAGGTCCCCATTTCTGTAGTTGAATTAAAAAAAAAAACATGAATTTGTATCAGGTATGATTTTGTACTTGCAAAAGGAATCCCAAAGAAGCTAAAAATGTACAAACTAATGATAAACTGTTAAAAAATTATCATTTCAGGAAGAAAAGTGAAAAGGTCCAATTGTCTTCAATGGATTGCTGATTAAAAAGTAGACAAAAATTAATAAATTCCATGTTTTAAGCTAATGTTTGCTTTTTCACTTTTTAAATAATAGAGCAGAAATAGTTTTAATGATTAAATGGTCTTATCTTTGGCACCCTTTGCAGAAATAAGACCAAATTATGTGCTTTTAAAACAGGAATTCAGTAGTGCTTGAAAA